CCATCCTGTGTTTTTCTAGACAGTCATACATTTTATTTCTCTTCAACATTTCGGTACTCAATAGGAAATGAAATGTTTGCAGCTCTCTCTGTAGTACTGCAATTACTGGCACCAATTGCTCTAATTAGATTTTTATCTCATTCCTATAAAAATTTAGAAAACAGTGAGTTATAACCTCATGATAGTGGGGGGTAATTCCCAGAGGGGAAAACAATCAACCATCCACTCAAATGGCATTTTGACCCAAAATGACTTACTATTTAATTGTCCCATACAATCCATCTCATTAGTTTAAATTCATAATTGAGTCTTCTTTAAGATCTGACAAGGGAGTAAACAGAAATTTGTCTTTGGAATATAATATTAAATAATTACTTTCCACCAGATTGTTCATTGGAGAGGCTGTGGCAATCAACACATAGAATAGTACTAACCCTGTAGAAGAGATTGTAATGAGTTTTGTTTTCCTTATTTTTAAAATAAAAGCAAATAATCACTTTGTCCATAATTTAAAGCATTTATTTGCAGATTTCAAGTAAGCAAAAGAGAGTATTATACTTCAAACTGGCCATTCTTTGGAAACTAAAGCTGTACTCACACAAAAAGTTTGACTTCTTAATAAGAAAGTTGTCTAATTGCGCAATTTAAACCTAATGGTTATTATGCAACCCTGTGTCTTTAACAACTATAGAAAAGAAAGATTCTGAAATTGAAGAGAACTAGCTGAATATTCTACATATTTGAGAAACGACCAAAAGTTCAAGTCCATGGATTTTTAAACATCCACAAAATGTCTTAATGGGGATGTATGGCAGAAACAGATCTTACAGTTTTTTTTAAAAACATCACTACACTAGACATTTCTGGCAGAAAAGCTGAAGTGAAAATGGAATTTTAAAAAGAGCCCCTTCTATGTTAACTCGGGGAAACAAGTGGAGACTTTCATCCATTGAACTCCTCTTGCTAGGCTAGACTTCCTGTGTGCTTTGGCTGTTAAAAGTCCCCTTTACATCCTCAGAGCTCTCATGAAACTTGTTTTCTTACTCCAAACCACCTTCTCTGAAGTACTTGTCTTTCTCACACAATTTAGCTTCCAGTTTTAGGCTGTTCTCTGTATGAGCTCTCATGAAACTTGTTTTGTGACTCCACACCATCTTCTCTGAAGTACTTGTCTTTCTCACACAATTTAGCTTCCAGTTTTAGGCTGTTCTCTGTCTGTCTGTTCCACATGTGCTACTTCCGTCTGTAGGTGCCTGAGGCAGGTGGCCATGCATACGTGTCCTGTGCTCTCCTCAGAGCTGCAGCCACACTGAACATCTGCAGGCTGGAGAGTGGTGAAGAGCTCTGCATTTCCTAAACATGATGCTTTCCCCACTTACTAGCCATGCAACCACGGGCAAGTAATTTTTCAGAACCAGAGTTTCATTGACGGTGAAATGGGGACAAAGCACCATCAACCTCCTGGAGCTATGGGAAGACTGAAATAACTCATAACAAGTGCTTAGCAGGCAGCCTGGTACCCAGGAAGCCCTAAGCAAACAGCAGCCTACTGCTGCTCCTACTTCCATGTATTGCTGACTGTTTATGGGTAATTTTGAATCTTCTACCGTGTCCAAAGGCAAAATGTAGATTTTAATGTAAAAGTAGGAAGTCACGTGTTTCATATCTTCAGTTTTATGCAGATGGCCTCTCCTTGTCCGGGAGATCTACTGTACTTTCACTGATGCTTTTTTTCATTCTCACTTTTAATTTGTAGGAACTCAGCATGTATTTTACAATCTAATCTTTCTAAGTAACTAAAAGGTGTTTTGTTATCTTGAAGTCAAATACAACATGAATCATGCTGATTCTTTTGAAGAAGGAGATTTTAAAAAGAATCACAGTATTCAGAAGCCTACATCTCTTCTGTATTGCTTTTTGCATTCTCTGGCCCAGGAACCCTAGTCTCAGAATGCTAGAATTATTATCATTTAAATTTCTTAGACAAGGGGATCACTGCTTTTTTTTTACCATGTACATTTTTTAAAAAGCTATTTGACACCATTTCAAATTGATATCTGGTATTCTGAGAGCAGAAAATGCTGGTTAATCAGAACACTGTCAGAATTAAAACGTCTATTTGAAGCTGGGCATGGTGGCTCACATCTGTAATCCCAGAGTTTTGGGAGGCTGAGGCAGGAGGATTGCTTGAGCCCAGGAGTTCAAGGCCAGCCTAGGTAATATAGGGAGACCCTTTCTCTACAAAAAAAAAAATAAAAAACCAAAAAACACTGCCTTGAAAAGCCTTAATGATGTTGACATAGGTCCTGAATTGCCTAGATTATTGATGGCTTTTGACTCTTCCCAGTGCCATTATTAATATTAATAGCATCCCCTTTATCTCTCAGAGTATCTTGATTTGGATGATAAATTACATGATTAATGTAAAGACCAAGGTACAAGTAGGTCTGAGACCTTTGGATTTAATATCTTATATTTTAATCTTTCCTGTTTGTAAGCCTGAACTTCTGGTCAATCAGTCATTCATGTGGCTCATATTTTTTTTTCACATACTGATTATACAATGAAAAGCAAAACATGCAGAGTTCACAATTTTGTAAAGAAGACAAATGAATTAATTACACACCAAAATGTCACAACTCCTCAGAAGAGGTACAAAAGGGTATGAGAGCCTGTAAAATATAACATCTGGGAGGTGGGGGGAGAGGTGCATAGAGGCTACAGAAATGCACCTGAATAGTTTTTGATGCCAGAAGGATGTCATCTCAACTTAACACTGCACTCAAAATGTCATCCTGTTTGCCTTCCATACATTTACCATGGTGAGGAGACATTTCAGTACAAGAAGGCCCTTCTGAGGACGAGAACTAAGTAATAACTGTGGGCGTGATTGAAGGGCAAAAATCCAGAAAGTTAATCCTTGGTTTATGATTTAAGTGGCAAAATGATGATGATGATGAGAGAAAAAGAGAGGGAAAGAACAGAAAAACAGTATTTGGTGTTAGTAAGCTCCTTGGGGAAAAATTGTATCAAGATTTTTTGTAGATTTTCCCTCCTGAATTCCTCTTGGAACACAGTTCTAAACACATGGCGAAAATGCTCAGAGAACTGGTCTTTTGATGACCAAGAACATGAAGCCTAAAGACAGAAGGGACAGAACCCAATTTCAAACAGGAAAAGGAGAGAGAGTGAAAAGGCTCTCAGGCCATGCTGGTTTCTCAAGGTCACTGCCTTCTTTCTGATATCTGTGATGTCACAACCAAGATAGGCTGTGGTTGGCAATTTTTGGGAGAATGAATGAGCATGAAAGTTTTGAGAGGGACTCCATAGACTAACAAGTATGAAGAGTTTCTCCTCAGAAAGAGTTCTGAGGGACCAGTAAAGCAGTATGGGAAGATGAGTTCTTGAGAACAGGATATCTAGTTATTGAAAAAACACCAGGTGTGCAAATTCACTTCTGAGATCCTATGTGATTAACTGGTCTGCTTTCATTATCTGGTGCCTGAAGAGCACATTTCCAATACAAACAGGCCCTTCCAAAGAAGTAACGTTAAATAAAAACTAAATGTAGAGGGCCAAGGCCGAACAAAATAAAAATAAAAATAAATAAAAGAACTGGCCTGTGGTACCTGCACAGAGAATCTATAAATTCTGATGCTTCATCTTCATCTATAGGCTCTGTACTCATCAAGATAAAGTATAGGCTGAGTACAGTGGCTCACTCCTGTAATCCCAGCATTTTGGGAGGCTGAAGCAGGAGGACCACTTGAGGTCAAAAGTTGGAGACCAGACTGCACAACATGGTGAAACCTCATCTCTATATATAAAAAAATAGAATATAAATAAAGGTTTAAAAAAATAAATTAGAGGTCAATGGCAACTGATGGTGGTCAAATATTTTATCTAGCCAACATTTTACTAATTGAGACATAATTGTACTTAAAATCTCAGCAAATTCTTCAAGGATTAGAGATGACAGCAGCAGAGTCATATGTACTGATTTTTCATTTAATGATATATAATCAATGCATATATTTCACATGTGTAAGTAATGTGAATTGGTATCATAGAATTCTGACTTTGAGGTCAGAGAGATCTAGGTTTAAATCCTGGCTACACTATTTGTTAGCTGTTTGTCCTTGGCAAATCTTTGAGACAGTTTGTTTATCTGTGTAATGGGAATATTATAATGAAATGGGGAATCTTTGCTGAGTTTTCAGGATTTAATAAACTAATGTACATAAAGTACCTAGGAATGCCTGGCACATAGTAAGTCGTCAACCAGTAAGCAGTAGTTGTTTTGATGTTGATTAGTAGATGTTTTGATGTTTGATATGCTTACAATTCTTATAAGTAAATCTGGGTGATAATTTAATGTAGACAAGCAATGATTTTTTCATATGTAATTCTAGTCTAATTATATCTGCTCTGATCATTAATCTCAGGTTATTTCAGAGATCAAATTAGATACTATATATAAAATCATCGTTAAAACTACAAATTTCTTTACTATAAAGTATTATCCTTTTCTGTCTATTATCTCTATAGTTTTATGGATTCTGATGTTATTTGTATGTCTTTATTTACTACAAATACTCTAAATGCAGAAGACATTGCTATTGCTTTCTCTACCTCCATTTGCAGTACATACATTAGGGATTAATTTAATATAGACTGAAGGACAATGAGTATTAGAAAGACTCAAATTTTTTTCCAAAGAACTTTCTTTCTTTTCATTCTATTTCTTTCCCTACATGTGCAACCTCCATTTAATTATTTATTTAATATTTATTAGGTTTCTATATGCCACCTTTTCTCCTCTTTGTCTAAGCTTAGTTATAAAATAGTACCAAAATTCATTGATTGTGATCTTGTTGTTTACTGTGACCTTGGGCAAATTAAGCTCTAGGTGTTCAGTCTTTTAAAAAATCTACAAAATGAGGACAATCAACCTACCTCAGGGTACTGTTGCAAGAATTAATGAGGATTAAATGTCATGTTCAACAAGAATTTACTGAATTAGCCAGTTGTGGATTCTCTCCTTGTATTACGTTCATGGCGGTCTCCTTGGACTTGACTGACCTGTGAATGATGCGCTGGCTCTGCAGGTAGTCCAGGGCCATGACCAGCTCACAGATGAAGAGCTTCACTGTTTCTTCCTTGAAGCGGACATTCTGCTGCAGGTGATAACGCAGGTCTCCACCCAGCAGGAGGTCCACCACCATGAACATGTCTTCCTCATCTTGGAAGGAATACCTGGAATTGCATTAGAAGAGAAAACTTATCAAATATATTTACACATTAAAGAGTCTCAGAGGCAAATGAGACCCGACAGATCAGAGCAGAGTGTTCCTGAGCTAAGAGCTCAGACTTTGGGAGTAGGTGGTCTATCACTAGCTCTATCACCTTAGGCCTTTAGTTTCTTCATGTGTCACATGAGAATAATAACCACATTTGATCACCCTGATGAACAAACGGGGTAATTATAATACTTATTGTCATGCTTGACTTATAGTAAGCACTCAATAACTATTTGTTCATATGGTGATAAAACACAGAAAATGAAACGAACCCAAGTTATCCATTTATTGCTAATGGTTGTATCCTAACTGTACATTGCAGAAGGCCCATAAAATATGAGCTATGGGAACTCCTTGAACCATTCTCATGCCCATTTTTCTATATTAACAACATCATTGCCCAGCAACATTATAACAAATCATGTCCCACATTAATGATAAGAAAAACATATAAGAAGGGCAATGAAGAAGTAAGCACACAGTACAAGGAAGTAATTTACTCTGTCTTTGGGATGGGAAAGTAAGGGAAAGCTTCTCAGCAGAGGTAAAACCAGTGCTCAATTTTGAGGAATGGTGATCATAGTAATAACTAAAAAATAACGCTAACATCTCCTGATGTTTCTACTGAGTGACTTTGTGGGCTCTGACACACTCTGCAAGTGCAACCCCAGTCCTTCCTCACGATGCTGGTCCCATGCTCCCATTCACATGAGGAAATGCACAAAGTTAAACACCTGACAAATGGTAGTGCCAACATGTTCTCCAGGTGCCAAAGTAAAATTTGAAAAATACCAGAGAAAAATGGGATGCATGCAAGCACAGACTTGGGAAAGGACCTAGTGCAAGTGGGGAAAGGAGAATAGCTTGGATTTGCTGGAGTAACAGGTATGAGGGGGAAGCTTGCATCTGGAGAAGGTGGCAGAGGCCAGATCCCAAAACAGAACCCTGTGCCCGCATCTGCAGTGACCCCCAGTCACTGAAGTAGGCAGGATCAGACATCGGGGAGTGCAGGGATAAGGAATTAGAAGAGGAAATGAGACACAGAGAGTAGAACTAGCCTCTGCTGTGTACAAGAGGAAATGAGACACAGAGAGTAGACCTGGCCTCTGCTGTGTACAAACAGTAGCTTGTAAAAATGCATTCCTACCTCTGTGATGTATTTTGTTTCCCTCAAAGCACAGCCATGATTTCTAGCCACAGTCAAGTTTTCTGTATGAACACTGCTTTGACACGTTTCTTTAGACATAACGTCACGGAGATCACATTTTAAAGTTTCATTTGAATCAAAGAATTAAGTGCCTGCAAGCAGTGCCCAGGGATGCACATTACTTCCTCGTGACAAATTATTTGCTGAGGAAATAAATGTAAAATATCAATGATGGGAGAAATGCACTTAGTACATTTTCTTCTTTATAATTATCATTGTGCTAAAGGAGAAAAGGGATACTTACACCAGAAAAAAAGAAATTCAATGAAGCATTAATCTGAGGTGGTAACATTCTAATGAGCATTAATAGCACCCGATAGTTCAATAAATTCTGTTTATCACCGAAGACTGATTTACACAGAATATGTCTTGGAAAAATTAAGCTCTAACAGAAACTCAAAAAGTGCTTTGTAAAAGCCTGAGAAACATATGTTTGGTATTGCCTTTTGGGAGATACTATTCTTCATCTCAATGCAATGACTGGCTGGTCATCTCTGCCACTGGTGTATTGGGCACAAGGAAAGTTCCTTGGTTCTAGGCAAAGTGGTACATAAGCCTTCCAACTGCAGCAACACACATTATATTCACCGTGTTTTACAGGCCATTCAGTAAACAATATTGAACTGGTGAAACTGTAATCATGGCTGGGACCTGCTGCACCTCAGGCTGTTCTCCGCTAAGGTAATAGAAAGAATGATTGATTGTGGGATGTAAGCAAGGCCTTTTGGGATGAGTGGCAGATGGGATAGGGATAATGAGGTGTATGAGGGTTTGGTACCAAAAGTCAGGAGAAGAGAGTACTAATCATAAACATAATTAGATGCCAATGCAAACCACCTACTCAGACCTGGTTAGCATACAGAGCAGATGTGATTCACTCCCTGCTGTTGACTACGTTAGGCTGCCAGGTGTAGTTTAGAAACCTGGTAACAGACCAGTGGACTCTTCTCCTACTATTCCATTTAACTCCAAGGGAGCAGAATATATTTCTTAAAATCAGCCTGAATGATGATTTTTACTGGGACTTGGGTTAAGCTGTTTTTATTCAAAGAACAAAGTGATAAAGGTGCCAGTTGTGGCAAGTTAATAACAGTGTTCGAATGTGCAAGGGATTATCAATCAAAGACAGAAGAGGCCCAGGCAAGAGGCAACATGTTTCCCTTGGCCAGTAGAAATATAAGTTTATTTAATCATAGAGGCACGTTTGGCTCTTAAAAATCATCTTTCTCCTTTGGCACATCAGAGCTAAAACTCTCCATCTCAGATTCTTAATTCTCAGAGGGAGAGAAGATAAATATTTTATTATCCAGAACTATGCCCAGTAAATTATGTGAACATAAAACAATTGGGCAATATCTAGAATATTCAACGTCGTACCATCTGATTTTTTAAAATGAGTAAGAGCTTCCTTGTACCTCAACCATTCATCACAGCCTCACTATAGCATTTCTACAACTTTCTTTCGTGGGATATCCTGGCTTATTTATTTCTCAGTTGACAGCTCCAAAATTAACAAGTCTGGTCCCAGTGCATTTGAAATTCATTGCAAAGTGTGCTCAGTAAGGAACATAACTAATAAAAGATTACCACCTTATTCCAACCCTACTGCATCATGCTTGACCCAGACCATTGCAATAGGCTATTCATAGCTCTGTCTGCATAATCTTGGACCTCTTCAATCCATTCTCCACTTTGCAGTTATATTTTTACAATGTGAGTTTTATCATGTCATCCAGGCTCAAGATAACCTTCAGCTCTTTCTGTGGTCTACAGAAACCTATGAGGTCTGGCCCTGTTTATTTTTCCAGCTTTATCTTGAAGATCTTTTCCTTCCATTCTCCAACTAGCAATTCAGGCCCCCTTCAGCCTTAGAAGCTTGTGATATGGTGTGACTTGTGCCTGCGCTCATGATGCTGTCCAGTACCTGGTTATATTCTTTTCACCTTTCAAGTCTCAGCTCAAGTGTCACTTCTCACAGAAGCCTTTTCCAACACTCCATATTAAATGTGGTTCCCCTGTTACACGCAATGCCATATGCTTACACAGAATTTATCAAAGTTTGAAAATATTTTCCTGTGTGCTTTTGGATTAACTTCTTTCATTCCCAATATATCTCAAGATGCATGCTTGCTTTTACTCACCATTGGTGCCTCAATACCTGTACACTGCCTGGAATACAGATTGAACAAATAGCAATAGAAAACATAATCAATGAATCAAAAGAGAAAGGAGAGAAGCGAGGTTAAAACACAAGCTTTGGGTGGGCTCTGATGTAAATGCTCTAGATTCTATGTTTAGAAATTAGCATGGTTACCAAATAAGCCAAAATAGTCACTTATTTGGGAGTCACGGTAAATGGTAAAGAAGTAAAAAGAAAAAAGAAAGTCACTCACATGCTTGAAGCTGCCTTACAGGGGCCATCTTGAAATAAATCTGACTCTGAGGGTTGGGAAGAGATCTAAAATATTCTACAATGCAGTGTTTTTCAAATTGTGAGTCAAATTCCTTGAAGGAGTTGTGAAATCAGTTTGGTTGACTGTGATGAGCATTTTTTAAAAAGAAGTAAAATAGATCGAATAACATAGGATAAATGCTATTAACATAAAGTTAAACATTATGAGATTTTTTATGAATATAATGTATCTCTGTGAGTATACCTACTGGGTTATGATGAAAAACATTATTTCTTATTATGGGCTGCAGTCAAAAAAGCTTGAAAACCATAACAGTAGGGGAACCTACTTCCTATTGCAGAACTGTTGCACCAAATCCTCATTCTGATGGTACCCCAGCAAGGGTCCATTCTGAGCAAGGAAAAGCAAGAGAACATTGTCCTAGAACCTAAAATGATAGAACAGTTCATTGTGTTTTTCTGACTCTGAACAGGGAGTGCTCACAGCAGGCTTTTCACGGCTTAGGCGAAGCATTAGCCCTTGTTAGAAGAGATCCCTCAGGAATAGCAAGGAGGAGGTTAGGGTACACTGTCCTATTCATTAAGTACAAATTTACATTTTAAAACCTTTCTTTAGATCAATGACCCATCATATTTTTCTTCTTATAGCTCTGGAATAATTTTTCAAGGTGTACCTAGTGTGAAGTTCATTTTTTAACAACGAGTATTATGCACCTAATTCATTCACCATAACAATACAGCAAACCCATGGTTTCCAAAGGCAGATTTCAACAGTCTATAAAAGCAATACTCAGTTGTGGCAGGGCGCGGTGGCTCACGCCTGTAATCCCAGTACTTTGGGAGGCCAAGGCGGGCAGATCACGAGGTCAGGAGATCGAGACCATCCTGGCTAACACTGTGAAACCCCATCTCTACTAAAAACACAAAAAATTAGCCAGGGTGGTGGCGTGCGCCTGTAGTCCCAGCTACTAAAGAGGCTGAGGCAGGAGAATCACCCGGGAGGTGGAGTTTGCAGTGAGCCAAGATCGCGCTGTTGCACTCCAGCCTGGACGACAGAGCGAGACTCCATCTCAAAAAAGAAAAAAAAAAAGACTCAGTTGTGTTTTTGTTTTTTAACTGAAATACCGCAATGTGACAATCTAAGGCAAAAGAAAGGTTAATGGTTTGGATAACACTGGAACCAAGCTGAGACAACACCCTAAATTCTCTCTGTGTAAGTTTAGAGGGAGGCAATTTACAACCTAAGCAAGTATGTCATGACTTTTAGTGATTAATGTATCAGTATGAGAGCATTTCCACCAAGGCTTGATGAGAGCCACTGTTGGTAAGGACATGG